ACACGTCCTGTAACAGTTCTTAAGATTTAGCAGCCAGGTATATATTACACAGTTACTAAGGGCATATATATTGCACATATAGGCATAGCACATATTGCAAATAGATGGATGGTATTTAACAGCGGCAAGTTACACAACTTACAAAATACACATCTTGTAACAGTTCTAAGGATTTAGCAGCTAGGTATATATTACACGGTTATTAACGGCATATATGTATATATATATATATATATGTATATGTCAATCAACAGGTAAAGCAGATTAATAATAACAATAATAATGAATAATAATGACAATTATTGCAGATTATATGCATTATACTTCTTCTCACTCCTTTTCAAACACTAGATGTGGCACTGTTTATGTTGCTAATGCTGTTGTTGTTGTTGTAAATGTCATTTTTTGTTTAGATTTCTCTCACATGACTATGCACTGCAACATTTGTTTTGTTATTATTTATTTTACTTGTTCGAAATAAAATTGATCAATCAATCAAGTACATGAATGAACTGCCTCATCGATGTTTGTCCGTATGAATATGATAATATTAACAATCATATTATTCCGATCAGCTGTCAATCACTGTTATGATTCACATATTCATGTATTATTGAATAAACTATATTCAAGTTAATGATGAATGTTCCTCAAGATGCTTGCTCACCCTGCTTCAAATGTGAAGTAACAATTATCATATATCAATATTCCAAAGATTCAAAGGAACGACTTTATTGCAAAGTTACAACCTTGACTTTACATCAGAAAGAACAAACATTAAAGAAGTGACTAACTGCATCAGTTAGGGTTTGAACGTGTATTCAGCTAAAACACGTCGCTGCAGTTATTATCCAGTGGAAAGTCCTTACCTACTGGCCTCGTTAAATCAAAATGGTTACTTTTGTTTGGCTGGGCAGTGTAGTTACGTCTTATTTGACTTTCTCAGGACTTAAAACTGTTTTTTGGGGGCACAAAGAAAAATAAATATATACACACATACAAGGTCATCATCCTAACAGTTGTTTATGCTCATCTGTGAGCAGAGCATCAAGTTGGCATGCCTATAACAGGATTTAGAAAAGCTTGTCCATGCTTTCATCTTCAGTAGACTCGACTACTGTAATGGTGCCTTCACAGGGCGGACAAAGACATCCATCAAAAAGCTGCTGCTGAGTCCTCACTCACATTAAAAGAGTGGGTCACATCAGTCCGGTTCTGAAATCTTTACACTGGCTTCCAGTCGGCCAAAGAATTGATTTTAAAATACTATTGCTAGTTTTTAAATCACTAAATGGTTTAGGACCAAAGTATATCAACAATCTCCTGCATAACTATGAACCATCAAGGTGTCTCGGGTCCTCTGGGTCGGGTCTCAGATCTTATACTAGAGTAAAAGTAGAAGTGCTCTTATCTTGTACTGGAGTAAAAGTAGAAGTACTCAGATCTTGTTCTTCAGTAAAAGTAGAAGTACTCAGATCTTGTACTTGAGTAAAAGTAGAAGTACTCAGATCTTGTTTTTGAGTAAAAGTAGAAGTANACACGGTTATTAACGGCATATATGTATATATATATATATAACGGACAAGTGTATACGCTCAGTATATCACGGCTAAGAACCAATCAGATTGCTTGATTTGACTTGTCCGTTATATATATATATATACATATATGCCGTTAATAACCGTGTAATATATACCTAGCTGCTAAATCCTTAGAACTGTTACAAGATGTGTATTTTGTAAGTTGTGTAACTTGCTGCTGTTAAATACCATCCATCTATTTGCAATATGTGCTATGCCTATATTTGCAATATATATATATGCCCTTAGTAACTGTGTAATATATACCTGGCTGCTAAATCTTAAGAACTGTTACAGGACGTGTATTTTGAAAATTATGTAACTTTAAATCTTTTATTATATTTTGTATTATATCTTAACTTAGTACTTTAATGCCAATTAAACAATCCCTCTGATTGGTCCGTATAACATGCCCCTGTTTGCTGCTGATGCTGGCTTCCTTAAAATATTATTACTCTGTGAAATATGGAACATGTTCACTCTTAATTTTAAAATGTTTTCACCATTGTGCTACTAAGCATATGGTGAATTATTGTTAATTAGTGAGTCTTGTTAATGTGTTCCTGCGTGCCTTTAAGAGCTCTCCTCGTGTCTTGGTGGAAGCTGTTATACTTGAGCTTTTCCATCACACGTAAGTGAATTTGCATTGGCTTTTGCATTGGTATCGGACCCTGTGAAAACAGTGTTTGGGTGCTGTGCAAATTTCCAAAACGTACTTACAGTATACAAAGATTAGAAAGTAGTGATTGATGTGTTGTGGAGTCGGATCTGTCATGATGAAGTGCTGTGCCTTTTTACTTCTCCTCGGTGAGTTAAATCATGTTTCATATTGTTAATAATGTGTGACAATTAACTAACATTTACATTAAATAAGTAATAAGAAGAATCTATTATTTTCACTGAGTATAAACCTGCTAAGGCTGCACAATTATTTTTACATTTGTGTCTGGATTTCGATATACAACCAGAGAAACATACAATTTGGATACGTTTGTTTGAACTGCAATTATTTACAAATAAAACAATAATACTGTCCATTTTTGTCAATCTAGTGTATTGTTATAACAGAGGCTGAATTAAAGAAAGAGCAAGCAGAAAGGGCTATAAAAGCGATTTGTCTGAAAGACAACAAAATAACTTACCACCCAAAACAGATTAACCAGACTTTTTATGAATTTTATAACAAATTATACAAATCTCAATCTGATTACTCACAAGATGAACTGGACAATTATCTCCATAACATTAATTTACCATTATCTGATTTAGATCAAGAGTATCTAAATTCATCTATTACAGAAGTAGAGGTTTTGGCTGCAATTAAATCTATGCATAAATAAAAGCCCAGGGCCAGATGGCTTCTCGACAGAATTTTATAAAGAGTTTTGGACTGAACTTCAACCTATATTTATGTCAATGGTTAACAACTTCTCTCAAAACAGAACACTTCCTCAATCAATGAATCTTGCATATATTACTGTACTACATAAAGATGGGAAAGACCCCTTGAATTGTTCTTCATTTAGGCCTATAAGCCTCTTGGATCATGATTATAAGATTATCACCAAATTATTAGCAAAACGACTGGAAACTATTTTACCTAAACTAATTAGTCCTGATCAAACAGGTTTTGTCAAGGGCAGATATTCTTCTGATAATATAAGGAGACTTTTGAATATTATAAACCATTTGGACACCTGTCGGAGGCCTT